TTGGAGAGGACGGCAGCAGGAGCACAAGACTAGAAAAGGACAGAGGACTGTCCCAAGGAGCATCACACTCCGGCAGCCGCCCACTAAGCCCCCAGACGGCGACAACGAGCTGAGCGGGGAGGGGGTGGCCTTGAAAAAATAATTATCGTACGAATGGCATCGCAGAATTATTCAAAGCTGGGGCTACTGACTGGTGGCGCTCAACCCGAGTCAGTTTTCCTCTCTCTCGATAGTGTGACGCACAGATACTAATACTGGTAGGTATGTGTTGTGCATTACAACCAATCAGTTGTGTATAACTGTATATTGTGGGGATGGAGGGCGAGTGGGGCTTCGCTGCTTCCGTTTCAGGGAGCACAAACACTGTACAACTGATGTGTGATACTTCTCAGCTCTTAGTATTCATTCGTGGTGTTGATAGTGAATTTAATGTGAGCCAAGAATTAGCATCAGTTCACAGCATGCACACCACAACAACTGGAGAGGACATTTTCAATGAAGTAAAACTATGACAGAATATAACCTGGAATGGAAACAAGTGCAGTGTGTGACAATTGATGGAGGAAAGAATATGTCTGGGACAAAGAAGGGTTTGGTTGGGCAAATTACAACAGCTTGTGAGGTTGGAGGATTCTCAAAACCCATTTTTCTGCATTGCCTTATCCATCAACAAGCATTGTGCCTAAAATATGTTGATATGTCTTGTGTCATGAAACCTGTTGTTTCTGTGGTTAATTTCATTAGATCTCATGCACTCAACCATCGCCAGTTCCGTGATTTCTTGAAAGAAATTGATGCGGAGTTTGTTAACTTGCCTTATTATACAGCAGTTAGATGGCTTAGTTGTGGAAAGGTTTTGCTGCATTTCTTTGAGCTCATATTAGAAATTGATTTATTTCTCAGAGAAAAATAAACCTCAGCCATTATTATCAGAATGTGAATGGATTTGGAAATTGACATTTTTTGCAGATATGACAGGTCATATGAATATGACAGGTCATATGAATAACTTGAATCTGAAATTGCAAGGCAAAACAAATTTGATCAGTGACTACTTTGTTCATGTCAAGGCATTCAGAGCAAAACTTTCGCTACTTGAAGGCCAGGTGAAGGTTAAGAATTTTGCTCATTTTCCATGTTGTGAAAAATTTCATGCAGAAAGTTGAATTTCCTGTTTCATTTGCAAATTAAATAATTTCAGATTTGAAAAAACAGTTTCAGAAGCGATTTGCTGACCTTGATGCCAAAGCAAATGAAATCAGGCTCTTTCATAATCCATTTGACTGCAATGCTGAAAATCTTCCAACTCAATTTCAAATGGAAATTATTGATCTCCAGGCAGATGGCAGACTGAAAGATAAGTATAGAGAAGGAAATCTGATTGAGTTTTATAAATGCCTGCAGCCAGATCAGTTTCCAAATTTGATAAAGTTTGCTTGTAGTTTTGTGTCCATTTTTGGTTCAACATACTTGTGTGAACAAACTTTTTCCAAAATGAAGTATGTGAAATCTAACTATCGAGCAAATTTGTCTGATGATCACTTGAAATCAATTCTTACAATTGGCTCATCTAATCTGGAACCTGATTTTAATGAAATTTTGAAGTCAAAACGACAGTATCATTCGTCACACTAATTTGGTTGCATAAAACTAAAGGCAGGAATCTATTTAGTTTACCCTGATTTTTTCCAAAAAGATGTTTTAATTTTTCCATGTTTATACTTTAATATTTGAGGAAATTAAATTACTGGCACTGATTTGTTTTTTGTTTTTTTCATTTTTTATTCCTCCGGCCCGCATAAATATAGGAAGTATAGAATGTGGCCCTTACATTGACAAGTTTGGAGACCCCTGGTCTAGGCTATCTGGTACTGAGGTAGGCTATCTGGTACTGAGGTAGGCTATCTGGTACTGAGGTAGGCTATCTGGTACTGAGGTAGGCTATCTGGTACTGAGGTAGGCTATCTGGTACTGAGGTAGGCTATCTGGTACTGAGGTAGGCTATCTGGTACTGAGGTAGGCTATCTGGTACTGAGGTAGGCTATCTGGTACTGAGGTAGGCAGCCTGGTACTGAGGTAGGCTATATGGTACTGAGGTAGGCTATCTGGTACTGAGGTAGGCTATCTGGTACTGAGGTAGGCTATCTGGTACTGAGGTAGGCTATCTGGTACTGAGGTAGGCTATCTGGTACTGAGGTAGGCAGCCTGGTAGAGGTCGCCAGGATATAGCAGCCTTCCAGGTACTGATGTGAGGCAGGACGGGGCAGGCAGACATGGCACTAGATGCTATGGAAGACAAACAAAACGCTGATGTAATTTACACAGATTTCGCAAAAGCCTTCGATAAATGTGACCATGGTGTTATTGGCAATAAAATGCGTTCAAAAGGAATTACAGGAAAAATAGGCAGATGGATCTACAATTTCGTGACTAATAGAACTCAATGTGTAATAGCCAACAAAATCAAATCCAGCCCATCAACCGTGAAGAGCTCAGTCCCCCAGGGTACTGTGCTTGCTCCAGTACTTTTTCTCATCCTCATAGGACAGACATGAACACAACCTATAGCACTGTATCATCCTTTGCAGACGACACTAGGATTTTTATGAGTAGACAACATAAAGGACAAGGCAAATCTCCAATCAGATGTAAATCAGGTCTTTCAATGGGCTATAGAAAATAATATGGTGTACCTGATCGAGGATAAGTTCCAGCTTATGCGCTACGGAAAAAATGAAAATATTAAAACAAAACGGAAACCACGTACAAAACTCGGTCAAATCAAAACAGAACGAAAAGGCAATGTAAAGGATCTGGGTGTACTCATGTCGGAAGACCTTACCTTTAAAGAACACAATAAAGTAGCCGTCACAACTGCAAGAAAAATGACAGGTTGGATAACAAGAACTTTTCACACTAGAGATGCTATACCGATAATGATACTTTTCAAAACGCTTGTGCTCTCTTGAGTGGAGTACTGCTGCACAATGACAGCCCCTTTCAAAGCTGGAGAAATTGCTGACCTAGAGAGCGTGCTTTTACTGCTAGAATCCACTCAGTAAAACATCTAAATTATTGGGACCGACTAAAGAGCCTAAATCTGTACTCCCTTGAGCGCAGGCGGGAGAGATGCATAATAATTTACACAGGGAAAATAGAGGGGCTGGTCCCAAACCTGCACACAGAAATAACATCACATGAGACCAGGAGGCATGGCAGGATGTGCAGAATACCCCCGTTGAAGAGCAGAGGTGCAACAGGTACTCTGAGAGAGAACTCTATCAACATCAGAGGCCCGAGACTGTTCAACACGCTTCCACTACACATAAGGGGCATAACTGGCCGACCCCTCACAGTGTTCAAGAGAGAACTATCAACATCAGAGGCCCGAGACTGTTCAACACGCTTCCACTACACATAAGGGACATAACTGGCCGACCCCTCACAGTGTTCAAGAGAGAACTATCAACATCAGAGGCCCGAGACTGTTCAACACGCTTCCACTACACATAAGAGGCATAACTGGCCGACCCCTCACAGTGTTCAAGAGAGAACTATCAACATCAGAGGCCCGAGACTGTTCAACACGCTTCCACTACACATAAGGGACATAACTGGCCGACCCCTCACAGTGTTCAAGAGAGAACTATCAACATCAGAGGCCCGAGACTGTTCAACACGCTTCCACTACACATAAGGGACATAACTGGCCGACCCCTCACAGTGTTCAAGAGAGAACTATCAACATCAGAGGCCCGAGACTGTTCAGCACGCTTCCACTACACATAAGGGGCATAACTGGCCGACCCCTCACAGTGTTCAAGAGAGAACTATCAACATCAGAGGCCCGAGACTGTTCAACACGCTTCCACTACACATAAGAGGCATAACTGGCCGACCCCTCACAGTGTTCAAGAGAGAACTATCAACATCAGAGGCCCGAGACTGTTCAACACGCTTCCACTACACATAAGGGACATAACTGGCCGACCCCTCACAGTGTTCAAGAGAGAACTATCAACATCAGAGGCCCGAGACTGTTCAACACGCTTCCACTACACATAAGGGACATAACTGGCCGACCCCTCACAGTGTTCAAGAGAGAACTATCAACATCAGAGGCCCGAGACTGTTCAGCACGCTTCCACTACACATAAGGGGCATAACTGGCCGACCCCTCACAGTGTTCATGAGAACTGGATAAACACCTCCAAAGGATACCTGATCAACCAGGCTGTGACTCATACATCAGGCTGCGAGCAGCCGCGTCCAACAGCCTGGTTGACCAGTCCAGCAACGAGAAGGCTTGGGGGATGACCGGGCCGCGGGGTCGCTGAGCCCCGGAATCACTTCAAGGTAACCTTAAGGTAGGCCAGGTGGCTAGCCAGACCAAGCGACGACCCAGACCAAGCGACGACCCAGACCAAGCGACGACCCAGACCAAGCGACGACCCAGACCGAGCGACGACCCAGACCAGGTGACGACCCAGACCAAGCGACGACCCAGACCAAGCGACGACCCAGACCGAGCGACGACCCAGACCAAGCGACGACCCAGACCAGGTGACGACCCAGACCAAGCGACGACCCAGACCAAGCGACGACCCAGACCGAGCGACGACCCAGACCAAGCGACGACCCAGACCGAGCGACGACCCAGACCAAGCGACGACCCAGACCGAGCGACGACCCAGACCAAGCGACGACCCAGACCAAGCGACGACCCAGACCACCAACACTACCCCAGCCGGCGTGAGGGAGGCAGCCCGAGGGAAGGAGGGAGAGAGAGGGAGGGAAGGGAGAGAGAGGGAGGGAAGGGAGGGAAGGGAGAGGGAGGGAAGGCAAGCAGCCAGCCAGCCAGCCAGCCAGCCAGCCCTCAAGTGACCATCACCCCGCCGTCTACCACTTGAGCGCTACACACTAACTTAAAAAACTTTCGGGGAATGCCGAGGAGCTGAGTGAGGGAGTGAGGCAGCCAGGCAGCCGCCTGCAGCACCTACCTTGTGCTGCGAGACGGGCCCCACCAGGGCTATGCACCCGATGACCAGATAAATCCTCATGGCGGCGGCGACGGCGATTACGAGCACCAAGGAGAGACTTTGTGTGGCAGTAATCCAGAGCAGGGGCGCGGCACGTCCTCACACCATCACTCCCAAGCGTGCACTGAGGCTCACCGTACTCAGGCGGCGCATGCGCACTCCCGCGGGACCTCTCGCCTCCACGAACGCCTCAAAAAAAAAAATAAAATTCACAACTCCCATATTTTAATTTTTTTTCTCTCTCCTTTCTGCACCTATTATAGCTTTATTATTTTTTATTATTTTATAATATTTATTATGCCGCTTAAGTTGTCTCTGCGGGAGAGTTCGATTAATTCTTATTAAACCACCGACGCTGGAGAATTGTTGGTGGAGGGAGGAGGAGGGGGACGTGTTATGGAGGAGCTCCAGCGATTGTCTTCACTGATTTGTTCTTGTTGGGGGTGGTGGGGGGTTGTTGGGGGTGGTGGGGGGGGTTGTTGGGGGTGGTGGGGGGTTCTTGGGGGTGGTGAGTGGGCTGTTGGGGAGTTGTTGTGGGTGGTGGGGAGATGTTGGGGGTGGTGAGTGGGCTGTTGGGGGTTGTTGGGGGTGGTGGGTGGTTCTTGGGGGTGGTGGGGGGTCGTTGGATGTGGTGGGGAGTTGTTGGGGGTGGTGGGGGGTTCTTGGGGGTGGTGGGGGGTTGTTGGGGGTGGTGAGTGGTTGGTGGGGAGTTGTTGGGGGTGGTGGGGAGTTGTTGTGGGTGGTGGGGAGATGTTGGGGGTGGTGAGTGGGCTGTTGGGGGTTGTTGGGGGTGGTGGGGAGTTGTTGGGGGTAGTGGAGAGTTGTTGGGGGTGGTGGGGGTGGTTGTTGGGTGTGGTGGGGGGGTGTTTGTTGGGTGTGGTGGGGGGGGGGGTTATTGGGGGTGGTAGGGAGTTGTTGTTTGGGGTGGTGGAGAGTTGTTGTTTGGGGTGGTGGAGAGTTGTTGTTTGGGGTGGTGGAGAGTTGTTGTTTGGGGTGGTGGAGAGTTGTTGTTTGGAGTGGTGGGGAGTTGTTAGGGGGTGGTGGGGAGTTGTTGGGGGTGGTGGTAGTGGTACATACCTAGCAGTACTTGCCTGTGGTGCCTACCTAACTATCAGTGACTAAGGGGCGACTGAAATCACACCTTTATACCTTTTAGTAAACATTTGAGCTGAATTTGGGCATTTCTTGGCGTTCGAGTTTGTCACATTTGCTTCTGAAGTTACGGACGGGGGCGGCTCCTGCCACTTGTAAGAATTCCACTTACTCGAATAGGATACAGAACTGGCATTTCCAGAAGGTCTCTATGTCCTCGTGTCCTACTTTATATCAGTTTAAAAAGAGACTGTCCCTCTTGTTTTTTTTCCTATCTCGGTATCTTGTATGCAGTAATCATATTCCCTCTACTCTGTGTTTTTTGAGTCGTTGATGTAACACATCTTAGCCTTAATGCTGGGCCAGGTCAAGGAACGAGCCAAGTATAGTGGGGCCTTTGCCAAGACAGCTCAACCTCACATTAGTAATATAACCTTTGGATACTTAACAAATAAAGAACAACAAATATTCTCATGTTTAATCAAATTAAGAAATTGGTATAATATTTCATATATAAATCATCAATAATTGCTATAATTTCCTTCTTATAGGTTGGAAGGCCAAGCCGAATTCAGCCCGGCAGTAACTCATGATATATATTTGAATATAGTTTATAAAATGATATACAATTTATCCATTTATGAAACCTAAGGTATATAGAGAAAGTTTTATTTTTCCGTCTGTTGGGGTCAGAGACAGAATGAGTAGCCTCTTCCCTCCATTAGCTCGAATATTGTTTGATCAGAAGCATATATATAAGTATATAGTATAAATAATATATGCAAAATACACACACACACACACATATATGTGTGTGTGTATATACTACACATGTGTTGTATAGGTGTCTTTATATTTACAAATACGCGTGCGCATACTTACACATATTTATGCTTGCATGTTCAGTTTACAATGCACATAAATTTGAATGTGTGCTGTGTGCGGGTCCGCTTACATATGCATGACTATGCATGACTATGTATAAATGTTATGCATTTTAGCCAGAGTTGCCAACAAGCCGTATATTTAAAAAATATATATAAGTTTTTCCAAATGTGTTGGACTGTGATAGGCTGTGTTGGTGTGCTCGGACACGTGTTCTCCCGCAGGTGTTGACCCGCAGGTGTTGACCCGCAGGTGGAGTGTCTGGGTGACAGTAATTAGCCCGTCCTCTCAATACATGTCATTTTCTACCTTTTCTGTCCACCCCAACGTTCAAAATACGAAGTACTGTGGAATATATTAGTCACAAACGTCAACGTTTTCTATGGATCAGTTGCTTGGGCAACTCGTCCCCCTGCTGATAATACGTCGCATTTTGACGTATACGTTCCCTAAGCCTAAACCACTGACGTACTGATAATCATCACAGTTCGCCAAACTCACGTGATGTCCCGTTTTCTGTTAGTGTGTCATCGGGTTGGTTAGGTTCGGGCAATTTATACTACAACAGTCTAGAGACGTTGGGGACGCCCGGGAGAACGGGCTGGGTCAGGAAGGGTTATGGAAGAAGTTGTAGAAGGCGCCTCCATTCACAACTTCCAGCCAGGATTTGGAAATAAATTCCAACCTTCAGGAGAGTTGAGTTGTAACTCAACTTGTCAGCGACTGAAAGGTCCAGGGATCACCTCCAGCGGCAGGCAGGAAAGGGCAACATATCCTTTCATCTGATACCTCTGTTCACCTAGCACTAGATAGGTGGTACCCCGGATACATCTACCTGTATACACACAGCAGCAGGATACACCTACCTGTCTATCCTGTTTACATATCTGTAAAATCAAAGCTACGAAAAGGATTATTTTTCCTCAGGGGTATAATTTTGGCTGTTTCTCTAATTAGTATTGATGATATAAATATAATTATTAGTTTTTGGGCGATTAGTAAATGCAATAAATGTGGTTCCGAAGGTTTGAACCGACAAATTTCAGCTCTTGCTACGATTTCTTATAAAATAAAGGTAAATGATATACAAGAATGTTATGTTTCCTATATACATTTATTATGAAGAACGTGAAAGGTCATGAGGACAAAGCAACGAAGAGGGAACTACTAGGGGGGAAAGTGCAAAGCCATTACGACTATATAGCACTGGGAAGGGGGGTCAGGATAAAGATTTGGGATGGGACGGGGGGAAAGGAATGGTGCCCAACCACTTGTGGACGGTCGGGGATTGAACGCCGACCTGCATGAAGCCAGACCGTCGCTCTACCGTCCAGTCGTATATACTGTCTTAACAAACCCGACTAGAGTACTGAGGGGCAATAATAGTCTGATGGATATAATCCATTTAGATGTTTGAAAGCAAATAATTGTTGAAGTTGAAAAACTTAATAGGTTACACAATTTAAAAACTCTTGGGAGAGTTAGGATGACGAGCTACAAAGTTAGGCTAGGCTAGGCTAGACTAAGCTAGGCTAGGCTAGGCTAGACTAGGCTAGGCTAGACTAAGCTAGGCTAGGCTAGACTAAGCTAGGCTAGGCTAGACTAAGCTAGGCTAGGCTAGGCTAGACTAAGCTAGGCTAGGCTAGACTAAGCTAGGCTAGGCTAGACTAGGCTAGGCTAGACTAAGCTAGGCTAGGCTAGACTAAGCTAGGCTAGGCTAGACTTGAATATTAGACAATTTGAAAACCCGTGGACTTTTTTTATTTTAATATTCATGATCAGAATACTTTCCTCTAAATCAATAGTTTCTTCTACTGGAACCTTTAATAATAAATTAGCGCTTACAGCACCTTTTACTGAGAACCAATATAAACCCACAATTTCTGGGAACACTATGAAGCACAAATACAGTGTTTAGAGTCGTTTAGGCAGACCTGAGCGTGGCTAGGCTTCCCTAGTTGTCGAGGCTACAGATATTCCACTTGCAGAAACTTCACCATTAATACTGACTAGTTTAACACAAACTCCTGTAATTTTGGTAGGGAATGCAAACTCCTCTGTGAGGCGGGCCAGCCAGCCACGCTACACGATTTGATTTGATTAAATTAGTTTACATTCTAAGAGTTTTAAATATTCAATTCTATTACGTAAATTTCAGTTAGAGTACGTGTTGATTAGGTTAAATTCGTTAATATGAGGTATTCTTTGATGTATGATTATGTATATGTTAAAATGTCATCCCTTTACCCCCTCACCCCCGCACTTTATACTCCCTCATCGCTTCTAATTTAACTTGAGGGTCGTTACGGTTTAAGGAAGGCTTTGTGGAATCCATTTGACCAAGTTGAGCATAAGAGCAATTATTGTCAGGCTAAAATTGCCAAGGCCACCTGTTGATGGTGCTTGTCTCTCTCTCTCTCTCTCTCTCTCTCTCTCTCTCTCTCTCTCTCTCTCTCTCTCTCTCTCTCTCTCTCTCTCTCTCTCTCTCTCTCTCTCTCTCTCTCTCTCTCTCTCTCTCTCTTTTGCGGGGGTCCTGTGTGTGAACCTTATCTTGAGGTTATCTTGAGATGATTTCGGGGCTTTTTAGTGTCCCCGCGGCCCGGTCCTCGACCAGGCCTCCACCCCCAGGAAGCAGCCCGTGACAGCTGACTAATACCCAGGTACCTATTTTACTGCTAGGTAACAGGGACATAGGGTGAATGAAACTCTGCCCATTGTTTCTCACCGGCGCCTGGGATCGAACCCAGGACCACAGGATCACAAGTCCAGCGTGCTGTCCGCTCGGCCGACCGGCTCCCAATGGACCCCAAACCTTGGGTTTGTCCATCTAACCAATGTCCTTTCCTAACAAAATTAAACTAACAGTGAAACTAGCTATATATGCCCTGCCTTGTGTTACGGAAAGTCTTATCGTGTTATTGCGTTGCATCAGAATAGCACTGTTCTTTAATAGTAATATTTTCAATTGTTACAGGGAGAACAAGGTTAAAGACCGTGAAGGGTGTTAACGGTCAGCACTGTGTGGCTCGTCCAGTGGCGGGAATACTGACAGCCAATCAGAATCACCGGGCGAAGCAATGAGTGCTGGTCGGAACATGAGCAGAAACAGTAATCTACTCCCTCCATCCCGTGGACATGCAGTCGTCGCGTGTGTGTGTATGAC